ATAATAATAATAATAATAAGTGTGTACTGACCTTTATCATATTTTTATAAGATTATATTTATGAGCACATCATGTTAGCCTCTTTCCACAATGATTTTATAATGTGAGTGGCTCAAGCCAGAACTCATAAAATTAAACTCAAGCTTAAGCCGAGCGTGGCTCAAGCTCAATTCATTTACAACCCTAGCTAGGTCCATAATAGCATGAAATTAAAAATCAAATTGTTGCTACAAAATGCCTTCAATATTTCTAATATGCAAAGTTCCACTTAAGATTTTGACTCTATGAAAATTAGAAAACAAACTTAATTTGAGACAAACTTACAAGTAAAAGTAAAAGTTATGCTAATACAAGCAACTTTATAATTACAGCAGCCCAACCTCTTAATATTTTTTGGTTCCTATGGTCAAGCAATCACAACTAAACCAAACAATGTTGACTCTAAAATGCTATTATTATGATAATAATAAGTGCTTACTGACCTTTATCATATTTTTATAAGATTATATTTATAAGCATATCACGTTAGCCTCTTTCCACGATGATTCTATAACGTGAGTGGCCATATGATAGTGTGTGTCAAAATGATCCCCTTACTTTGACTCATCTAATGAACCATATATCACTTATGTTTTGAGTTGCTTTTCCACAACTTTAATTATACAATTTCAAAAAATCCACCCTACAGTCCTTAGGCCCTATTTTTTATGGATATTTATAATTGGATGTTTCTCTAACTAGCTCATCCCTCTAATTTATTTCTAGCTAGAGTTTAGGTTGAAAAAGATGTTACAATACCTCAAAAAAATGAGATACAGATTTGTTCCTCATCTTGTGTCTATTGATAGAAGATAGAAGTTAAAACCTGAAGACAATCATTCCTATCATTCTTCTTATAAAATATTTGGGTACAACTATGAATATTTCAAAACTCATCCAGAACAAGGAAATCAAGCAACCATACACATATGAAGCATTAAAATGATGATATTCTATCTTCAAACTTGATGGATGCAAGTCCTACTTTAGAATAAGCTTGCGCATAAAATTTGGAATCTAATATAGATCTTAGCATGAAATCAAAGCCTTCTAAGCTTGCCCCTTGTCACCTCCCAAAAGAGCTCTTAAGAGAGATGGGTAGTCCAGGACTTAAATACTGCTCTTCGACCCTACACCTAGCCAATGTGGGACTTTTTGACCGTGACATTCTCCTCCACCTAATCACATGACGCCCTCGTCACGGATTTGCTCCTCCGAGAGTCTCACTGAACCATGGAGAGTCCACACACTTGGCAGACAGTAATCTGCTCTAATACCACTTGTCACCTCCCAAAAGAGCTCTTAAGAGAGGTGGGCAGCCCATGGCTTAAATATTGTTCTTTGGCCCTACACCTAGCCAATGTGAGGTTTTTTGTCTGTGACACTCTGCTATCCTAAACCCTATAGAATTAGTTAGCTCTTCATCTACATGCAATACCATTGATCATCATCCTCTGGATAAATTAGTTCTTCATCATCTTTCTATCAAGTTTCTTAACAACTTTATGATTTTGATGGAAGCCATCCCAAGTATCCTCGCTCCGGTAGATAAAAGGTTTCAAATCATGTTTAAAAGGTAAGGAAAGAATGTGAAATAAATTTATCATTAACGCCCAAGCTATGTAACACGGATACGGAGACAAGCATACTACACGACACAAACACATGACATCTATTATTAAAAAATTTAGGATACGAACACGCCTCAAACACATCATTATAATAAAAAATTATATATCTATATTTTTTTTCGCCAAAATAAAATTTTCGTTGATGAGAAGAACGTACAAAGGTTTTAGTGAGCGTGCACTAGGAACTCATTCACAAAGCATACAAAACTCAAAAAGAAAATAAAAAAGTACAAGTATACTCCAAAACAGTTAGACAACTTCCCCAAAAGGATAAAATGATCCACCATAGAGCTTAAACATGATGGGTGGGCTTTCCTCTCTCCCTGGTTCTAGAGGAGTCTAGCACCAAACTATGATAAGGGCTTCCACCCGAAAAGACCAAATCATCCTCCTGTAAATTCCTAAGTTAAATCAGTCATTTTTTCTTCTTCCTGATTTTTGTAAACTTGCCAATCACCAATCATCTTCCAAGGGTTATCCCAACCTATCACTTACCTAGTCATCAATGGGGGCGATTTTCACCTGTTGTGCACCTTGAATTTGGCACTCCGCCAAGGTTTGAGGGCCCTCAACATCAACAATGATTGTTTCCATAGCTTATGGAGCATCATCTAGCACTAAAAGGATAGTAGCCTCATTTTTGACAACATAAGGGCGTTGAGGTAATGAGGGGTAATCCTCTTGGGCACAAACTGTGGCAATATCCTTTCTAGTTACAGTTTCCACCATAGCATCCGGTGGAATAGCTGCATCTTCAGTAGTTAGATGAGGCACTTGAGGTTGGGGTCTCAAATTAGGGTGTAGCCTGAAATATTTTTCAAGAGTGTGTCCAAACATCTTACAATGGGTAAAATAGTATGGTCTTTGTTACATGACAATCTATTGTCAGTACCCGTTATGTGCAGTGCAAGCCAAATTTCTTCAATGTCAGGTAAAATGATCTCTCTCCATAAGTATTCTGGCAACAGAATGCCTGGTGAGATTAAAAGTGGGCATGTCTAATTTCAAGGGTTTCCCAAGCATTGTCCCAATAGAATAAAGGCCTTGATGGTTGAAAAGATGCAATTTAAACCAAGGTAACTTAAACTATATTGGTATTGTAGGTGGTTTTTAGTTTGGATCAAATTCAAGAGATCACTTGAGCAACTTCATAGTTTTTCCTTCAATGATGAGGTATTTCCTGGAGAAAATCCTAGCATAGTCTTCATCTGCAGTCAATTGTACCATCATATGTCTCTCATCAAAGAGACCCACCTTCCATTGTCCTACAAGTTTGAGATCCTCAAAAGCTTTTTGAATAACCTCCATTTTGGGATGCCCTAACTGAAATTTCCCAATGCGTGTGAATTTGTATTTTTCAATTAGAGCAGAGACTTCGAGTTCTGAAAAAATAATAGCGGTCTTATCATCCTTCCTACAAGTATTCTTAACAAACGGACAGTCAGTTTTCCCTTCAAGGGAATCATGATAGATCTGAGGAAACACCACAAGGTTGACAGCCTTCTTAGAGTCTAGACCCTTTCCAAGTGCCTCAACAAAAGATATTTTGCCTAGGTACTGATTCGAGGGAGGAACAATGGCCATCGAAAGCAGCAGAGAAAAAACAGAGAATAAATTGGGAGCTGAAGCTTAACTCTAGAAGGATCACGGTTGTCAAGCTGAGTTTGGGAGAAAGACGAAGGAAGAGCTGATCATGTCCTGGCTGAGTGTCGAAGAAGCGACAACATGATGGCACTACTATCCAGCAGAGTCAAGGAGGAAGACAAAGGAGTTGATCATGTCCTAGTTTAGTGTTGAAGAAACGACGAACAGGATCGCACTGCTGTCGAGCTGAGTCGATGAGGAAGACGAAGGAGGAAGACAAACACGCAACCCCTTCCCATCTTCCGTGAAAGGCGAAGAAACTGTCGATGCGAACCTCTACCCCTCTTCTTCGAGCACGAGGAAGCGACGAACAGAATAGGTTCTCAACCGGCAGGGTATCGAGGGCTGCAAGAGTAGTCATCTCGCAACCAGAGTAAACCCTAGCAGAGCAAAATCTATCTTACATATATAATAATCAAAATATTAAGAATAATACAAAAGAGAAAATAAAAAATTTAATAACACAAACTTTTAAAAACTAAAAACGCATTTGGTATCATTTTTTTATTTTTTTATTTTAGTCAATATAATTTTTACATATTTTATTTTTATTTAAAAATAATCAAAACGCATAAAAATAAGCATATATTAATTTATATTACATCAAGGTTTAAATCATTTTAATTAATTATTCACTAAAAGAAATATAAGGATTTTTTGGCACCAAATTCTTATATATTTACATATTTAACACCTAAATTTTATTTATTATATTTATATCATTCAAATATTTCATATCACATCTAATATACATCCAAGTTTAAAAAGAGGCTTTCACATACATAGCACCCAAAATTTTCATATTTATCTATCTCACACCCAACTTTCATAATTATAAACATCATAAGAAAAGTAACACTCATTATCACATTTTAACAGTCAAATACATCTTTTCATCAATATGTAAAGTGCTATTTGTGTAAAAATAAAAGTTTAGGTGTGAGATGGGAAAATCCATAAGAATTGGGTGTTATGTATGTAATTTTCCCTTTTAAAAAATGAAATACACATATGCAAGGAGGCATATATATAAATATTAGGTGTTAGATATGTAAATACATAAAACTTGATTGATATGTATGTAAATCTTTCATAAATTTTGCATAAAAATTAGTTTTTTTTTTTTTAGTCTTAAAAATATTTTTCATTAACTTTTAATTCATTAATTTCGGACACACATATCTTGTGCATGTCATGCTCGTCTTGTGTGTCCTTCTTTAATATTATTTAAATCAGACACTTCTATGTCGTATACAACACGTGTAGGAGCAGTGTCTGTGTTCGATATGTGTCTGAAACTACAAGGCTCCTTAATTAGAAGTGTTTGCGCATCATAACACCTAAGGCTAAACAAGCTTCAAACAAAGCCCTTTAAATGAGTTCCACTAATTTTTTGTTTTTATCAATAGATATTGCATCCTATATCATCACATTAATTTTTTACTTTGCCTTGTGTTTCTAGTATTTATCTAATAATTCTTCACAATTGTTTCTTATTATGCTTATTTTATTATCTGATTCTAAATTTATGGAAAAAAAAAAGTTCATTTCCATTGTTTCATTCAACAAAGTTAGACTAAAGTGTATCTTGTATGGTGTTGTAATAGTATTTGCATGGGCAGTAATAAATGAATGTGAGAAATTTTATGGGAGGAACAGTGGACAATCAAAACATCAAAGCCCCACCTCTTGAAAGGCACATCTCCAATTGCTCGGGACAAAGCTAGCTCCCCATTGATCCGAAGGACTCCAGCCCACTCCACCACATATCCACCAGCAGCTTCCACGCGATTCCTTTCATCATCTCGGGCAAGGTGATGATCTCTTGTAAGTTCCTTAGCATAATATCGTACTGCATTATAATTTCCCATTTTAGAGCCTTCATATGCATTAATTGGGGATATAGCTGCTTCATGTCTCCTGCGCCTATTTAATTTTGACTTACTGCCTGAAAATGAAGGAATGGAAATCATGCAATGACCCAAAATTTTTTTATTCAAACCCAAAGAAGTAAAAAAAAAATTGCTGAAGATGAGTGCTGCAAGTGTTAACAAATAAACACGTGCCATTAGTTTTTAAGTTTTTACATTTTATAAGATTTAAATCTATATTAATAATCAGAGAAAATATAATGAGTATGCATTTCTTTTAAAAAAAATGCCAACCTATTTCAAGGAAAGGATCAGAACTTTTTGAACACAAAAAGGCCTTTGAATCACCTACATTGGCGGCCAAAATACGGTCATCTGCTATAAGAACAATTGTCGCAGTTGAACCAGAATCAAGGTTGGCTTTTAAAGCTTCCTGCATGAGGTTATGGAAAATGGAAAGTCAAATACGTATTCAATTCAAAAAAATTATGATTCAATACATAAGCAGATGAAAAACCTTCCTTCGAAAATGTCACATCAATGTCATGAATTGTCCTGAGCAGTGATTCTTTAAGAATTTCCAAATGAAATGCATCATCAAAAATAGTAGATGACCACTCAGAGCTGTCCATTAATATAACAAATATTATAATGAATCAATATGAAGAAAATGCCAAGTTGAAACTGAAATTAATTTTGCGAAATGCATTTTCTCAATAACACGTCCATCTATTTTAAAACATAAAACAAAGTACAAATAGCACATACTTGAATGGAAGATCCACTAATCTATTCAATAATAGCGCCTCAGCATTTCAAAAATCGAAACTTAAAATTTAGGTTACATTGGGCTAAAATCAAATCAAATCAAATAAATAGGATCAGATGGATCTCAATTTATGGTTATGGCAATTATGAATATTTCTCAACCACCTTCTCAAACAGTTTTTCAGGGAAACATTTCTAAGACCAACGGACAATTAATTACCTGAACACACACCCAACAAACGCAGTTATGGTTTAACTCCCTAAGTCCAAGTTTCTTGGGTTCAACGAAAATGAAACAAAGTACAAAAACCAGACAAAACCATTTCATGGCATAGAGAAAAATAGAGTAGGACTCGAGCCATTGGTTATATCATGATGATGAGTTCAACTAAATAACATCTCAACACCCAAAAACCACAACTTTGCAACAGTGTGACCCCTCTGAGGCCCTAAGGCCCCACTTTCCTATCACCGGACTATACAAAATAAAAAAATAGAAAAGTAGATAAAAATAAAACATTTCATAGGTAAATATTCAACTATTATAACAACAGCATATAGCAGGATAAAAAGAAGAGCACCGATGGCATGCAAAAAAAAATTTATAGTCATGAAAATGAGCTGTTAGATAACAATTAATATAGAAAATAATTGATGCAGACAGTAAATATACACGAATTCAAGATGATTCAAAAAATCAGATACAAAATTTGATGTCAAACCATATGTATCATAAAATTAATGTTAACACTGAATACTCTAAAAGTAAGTCGTAATTAATAGGAGAGAACTGCACATCCAAACCTTTTTTGACCCCACTTTAGCCAACTTTCCTTTTTGGCCGATTCAAGCACACGGATAATCTCATTTTGCTTTTCATTGTATGTCAATTTTTCAACAGACTTTTTAAGTGTTGCAGAGTATATTCCATCAAGGAGAAAGTACACATGTAATGAAAAATACTCCACTAGAAGTTTGGAAGCCAAATCACTGGCTTCTGCACCATTATGGCCGTCAAATACAGCCACAATACCAACTTGAATCTCCTTGATTCCACTTCTCTCTGAACCAATCAAGAAACAGAAATTTCAATTTCCATAAGCACATTGAAAAATAAAAATAGGCATTTACTAACTACAAAAACTCATAGGAAAAATTGAATCAGTACGTTGAAGAAAAATGATCGCAGAATTGCATTACAAGAAAAGCTGCGCCAACTTCAATTTCCATAATTGTCCCTTTCAAATAATAGGTTTTAGTTTTGACAGAATGAATTTGTTATAGCAGGGTTAAAGATCAATTTCAGTAGAGACCTTTCAAAATTAATTGAAAATTTTAATTACAACCTCTTTAAGCTTAGTTTCAAAAAATTCAATTGGAAATGCATAGAATGAAGAGTAAAAGCATCGTAGCAGCTGTAACTACCAAAACCGACTGAAACTGTCAAAAGTTGGCTGAATGATGAAAACTATCTTTCCATTTCTTAAAAGATTTTATAAAATTAAAAAAGATCAAAACAAAATGCCAAAACAGCCAAGACTTTAAAAATCTCCAAATGTAACTTCTGCAAGAACCAGAATTGAAACCCAATGTGAGTTTAAAAACTTCTTTTTAAAAACGCATACAACTAATCTACAAACTACAGTTGTTTCATGCTAGAAAATTAACTCACCAAAGCTCAGCATACTTTAGTTTCACGTCCATAACATTTTAGCATTGTAATAAAATGCTGAAAGCTTCCTTGGACTGGGGACATAACTATAGATAAATTGCAAATCAATCAAAAAATAACTAAAAACCATGTCCTTACTGCTAGGGCTTTCAAAAAAGATCACCGTTCACGAACAACTAGTGTTCAGCTCTTAAGTAGCTTATGTTCGATTCATTTGTTAAGCAAACGAATCAAACACGAACAAACTTTTTTAACTCAATATACAAAAGAGTCGAACATGAACAAAGGTTTTGTTCATTCGTGTTCGACTCGATTTGACTAAAATTAATTAAACAATAATAAAATAATATTAGTACAATATTTATATATTATATTTATATAATGTATTGATAAAATATTAAATTTTCTTAATATTTAAATAATTTGAGCTAGGATTGCAGATTAAAAATAAAATTTTTGTGTCAAATATGTAAATACATAAAAATTGTGGGGTATGTACGTAAGCCTCAAAGAAAAAAATTTGGACCAGCAATCTCTCCCGCGCGCAGTCCGGCCAAAATTTTTGTGATGGATACGTAAATACATAAGAATTGGGTGTGTATGTAAATGTCTCAAAAAAAAATTGCTCCCACAGCCCACTCCCGCTTCCCTCCTGCCTAGTTTCCCCACGGTCCCGCCTTCCCTCTTGCTTGAATGCCTCGTAGTACCGCCCTCCCTCCTGTGTTTAATCCCACATTGAGAATAAAGACATAAAAACTTAAACTATTCTCCTTTAAAATGAATCTCAGTTGCTCAAAAGCCATCTCACGCATGGCATGGTTGCGGTCTTGTGGAAGCAGAAATTGGGTTTTAATCTCTTTAAGGTGAGTATTAAAATAAAATTTTAATTTTTGTAATTTAAATATATTATTTCATATAATATTTTTTTAAAAATTATTATTTTGAGCCGAACACAAGATTAATTCAAACAAACAAGTTTAAATCCAGCAAACATTAACAAGTTATTCACGAGCCATTTTGGACACGAGTCGAACACAAACAACAAAAAATTTGAACAAGCCAAACACAGACAAGCCTTAGGCTCGCTAAAGCTCAGCTGGTTTACACCCCTACTTACTGCCCCAGCAACTCAAGTTTTTGACACACAAGGCAGCAGCCAGATGCACAAGCTATCACAATCGATACAATGATTTTCCAAGTTCAAGGGAAAAAACTTGTACCAACGACTATACTGATAAATTTACCGTTTATCTCACCGCACCAAATAAAGAATAATAATTAAGGTTCATTTTGTTGGTTGAGAAAACATGCTTTTTTTAAAAAAAGGATGATTTATTTTTCCATTATTTTTATGTGTGAAAATAAAATCATTAATTTTAAAGAAAATTAAATTTAAACTTAGACTTTCAGAACAGTTTTCATTTCCTTAGAATTCAAATCAAGCAAGAGCCAATCATGAACCAATTTAAAAAAAATAAAAAATAAATAGGCAATAACGAGCTGGATACGATTGAACAAAATGTTCTCATATTCAACCCATCTAAAAACTGAGCCCAAAATATCCATTCATATTCAAACACTAGAGAAAGAATCGAACAGAGCATCTTAAGCAGTCCAATAAGCTCTTCATGAACTATAAGCTTTTTATTACAGCAATATTCAGTGCCTTCTGTAATGACCTCTTAAAAAAACAACGCGAAGGAAGAACATTCCATACCTAAGAATGGAATCCTTATATCTAGGACACAGACGGCGCGGTCTTCCTGAGACCTGCGCCTCCCCTGGAGAACAGCAATCTGACAGTTGGTGGGAGGTCCGCCGGGAGAATCGGCGGGAAGCGTCCACCGAGGGCACTTAGGCGACTGAAAAACTGCCGGGGCGCCGCCCTCCTTGTAAACAGCCAGACAAGTTTGGGTTTCGGCTGCGAGGAATGGAATCAAGAGGAACAGAAACCCTAACAGGATGATTGGCTTCGAGGACATATCTCGAAGGATTATGGTTTTCCTCCAGGCAGAACTCTGCAGAAAGAGTTCCGCAACGCTCGAGCGCTCTGAGGGGATGGTTGAAGCCTAAAATCGTTTAAAATGGAATTCGGAATTATGCATATTTATAGTTTTCATAAAATCATATGCAATTTTAAATTAAATGATTAATGGATTATCAAAATTTAATAATATTCATAATTTGATCTAAAATAAATGTCAGCTTTATTTTTTTAAAAATTTAAAGTTTGCTTGTAGTCAAGAACACTTAAATATGATTTAAAGAATTCTATTAAATCACAAATCAATCTTTTGATTTATTTAATTCAAAATAAATATTATTTTAGCACCAAATCCATTAGAATTAGGTATTAAAAGGATGAATTAATCATCTAGTCCAGTTTTTAAGGATTCGCCTACTCCTAATAAAATCACCCCCGCATATGCAAGTTCTTGAACCCAATACCTCTTAGTTGAAAGATAAAGCTCTCAATCACTTGGTCAAGCGGCTTCCTATGACTTTTTTATTTTAAATTTTGATGGGAAGACTAAGAGAAAAAAAATTTAAATTAAAAATAGAGTAGATAGCTAAAAGTTTATGTCCAAAAAATTTATTTAAAATATACTTCCAATATCCTAAATTAAATAAGTATATATTAATGAAAATATCAGTTCTTACAATGTTGTTGTATTTTCTAAGTTATATCAAAATAATTTCAATATTTATTATGTCAACTTATTCGAATTTTGAACCCCTATATTTTAGTTCTCTTTCTTCTAATGTAATGTCTACTATGAAATTAAAAATCTTCCTTTTAAAGATTGGTAAAAAATGAGCTCATTAAGACGTGGGTGGGTAGTACCAACAAAAATAAGGAAGATATAGATCTTTACCACACAATTCCTATGTATGTGCACATCTAATACCTGAACCTTAACTGTTACATCTATAATCGTTTACCTATGTTTAAAAAGATGTGTTCCACCTAAGGTGAGTATTATTAATATTTTTGATATGACATGAAAATTTTTAGTATTATAAATGAAAAATGAAAGTTTAGATATTTTTTATATGGCTTCAAATCATTTAAAAGCTAGTATAAGTTGGATTTGGATGTGTGATATAGGGCTTATGTGTGCCCTGTTTAGGTGCAACCATAAAATCTTTGAGTGGAGGTTTGCACTTGTTAAATTAAAATAGAAATAAGTTTTATTTAAAATTTAAAGCTAATATTGATATAAGGATGTCATATGTATTTTCATGTCTATATTAAGATTTTGTAAAGAATATGGACTGTAATTTGCAATAAAAGGATGACCAATATGAATGATATGTATGATTAAGAACATAGAACCATAGCAACACAAGAAAATTAACGTATAATGCAATTCATTACAACTAATTTATTTACAATTAATTTTTAATCATATCATAAAATTTCAAAGGTGTTTTGATGGACTTCCTTAACGTTACTCACTTTTGTCACTAACCCTTACTGTTCCAGCATATGAAGATACATGCAAAGAAATTGAGTGAGAGGACAACGGCGAGGGAGAAGAGACTAGATATAATAAGAATATTATTTAAACTCTATCAACTTATGTTTAATAGATGTTTATGTGGTTGTATGTCATTGTAGTTATTGTTATGGCTTGAGAAAAGTGTAGAGAGAAGCAAAGCTTAGTTTAAGTCATAGGCCTTGAAGCAACAATAATTATCGTGCCAAGAGGGTTCTGATGTAGACTCAAATGGACATAATTATGGTGCAAGTGTGGTTCCAAGACAACCCTTACAACAATATTAGTTTTACTACATGCACAGGTAGTGTAAAGCATATATTTTGATAGAGATTGGAGGCATCAATTAAGACATTAACAAAGAAAATGACAATGATGGAGGAATTATCCCTGATTATAGAGACATTTTCAAATAATGTTGGGTTATCAAAAAAGACAAGTACACAGATACCAGTGGAGGACATATTCGTGCCAAGGCCATCATAACGATAATGATATAAGTTGTTCATTTTCTCCTACTTTTCTCAAGTTTATGAAGATCCACATAGTCCAACTAAAACTAGCATGACAGTCTGCATTGAACATAGAATATTCATCTCCTTCCATGAAAAAATAGGGACAGAAATAAATACAAGATAAACCATTAATTGTTGTTGATGAGAGACCAAATTGATAACTGAAAAGAAAAAAAGCTTGCCCTTCATAAATATGTTATATCACCAGTCACCTCTCCATCCTCCCTTTGTCTCAAATCTCTCCTATGCAGCCTCATTCCACAATGGGATTGCTTCTTTGAACATCTTGGCAAGTTTTTTGAGAGAACATGAATCTGGTGTCAATACTTATACATAAAATCCAAATGTTGATATAACTTTTTACTCATCTGTTGCAAACAATTTATGCTTTAAAGTTAAGTTTTACAAATTAATTATAATCATTGCTTATAATGTTGTTTGCATCCTTGGTTTTGTTAGATTTAAATCCACACAATTACTTTATTTGCATATTTAGCACCTAAAATTTTATACATATGCATGGAAATATGCTTTTAACTCTTAAAAAAGTTAATAATAGTTATATTTTCAATGATATGTTGACTTGAGTGTTAGGCATGTAAATATGAAAGTGTATTTACAAACTATATGATATGTAAATGCCCCAACTTTGATAAATGTATGGTAGAAGTGGAGATTATTGTAAACATTATAATATCACAATTAATAAAATTTAGAGTTTGAAATAAATGTAAATTTAATATTACATATAAATAAATTAAAAATTCAACCAATCTCATGACCTTTTATGGTTTAGTTCATATTTGCAAGCAATAAAGTGAAGAACAAGATTTCTTCAAAGATTAGACAAAGATTAATGATTGGCTTCAATAAATTATCTATCTAATAAAACTTGGGGGCATTTACATACATATCACACAATTCTTATGTATTTACATATCTAACACCTAAACATTCACAATTTACATGCATACCACACCATCAGTGTCTTTTAAGAAATGAAATAAACATTTTCATGCATATGCTCATGACACCAAATTATTATAAGTATAAATATGAAACTTCAGGTATTAAAAAATGTAAGACAAAAGAATTGTGTGTTTTGTATGTAAATTTACCAAAATCGATAAAGAGTTCAAGCATAGCTCCACAGCCACTTCATTCATCTTCTCCCGAAGAGGAGTCTAGGGGTGTAAACGAGCAGAACACGAGCGTTGTATATTTCGAGCTCAAAAAGTGTGTTCGTTTAACGAGCCGAACACGAGCTGTTCACGAACAAAGAGTCCTTTTAATAACCCTAATGATGTAGCCATAAAACAATAAGGTTTTGAGCAAGATTTAAAAATTATTATTTATATTAAAACATCATTTGAATATAATTTAATAATTTTTATTCTATTTTCTTAATCAATATTTTAATTGGATATAAATGTTTGTAGCATTGTAGTCAATTAGATTTTTTTTAAAATACTACTTAATATATATAT